AAGAGAAGAAAATGATTACATCTTTAATATAAAGAATCACTCCTCTTTTCTTACAGTTTGCCAATGAAGCAAATATTTTCCCCAGCTTTGGTTGCCTTAATAAATGTTCATGTTGCTTTTGAATATACATTTGTAGACAAATTATATCCAATTTTAATTTCCCTAATTTGTGAAATATTTTCTTTCTTTTATTTGCTGAATTGAGTTCATTTATATTAATTGAAATCATTTTCTTCTCTTCCATGTTTATGTTTTATACATAGGATTTATTGTTCTGGTAGCTCTAGGTTCCCGTGGTTCTCTAATGTCCATGCCACCTACAGCACCTTCTTCTATCTCAATCCTGCCTACAGCTCCTTCTTTTTTTTCCAGTCGAGGCTGAAGATACCACTTGTACTTCTGTCACTGATTCTTTATGCCCAGTCTTCTCGGCCTTCCCTCTGAGATGTTCTTTGAAGAATGCTTCTGCTTTTTCAATTGAGTCTATTCTGTATCTTTGTCCTTGTCATACAAACATTAAACCTTCTGGTAGCAACCATTTGTAATTAACACCTTTTTTGAGTAGAATTTTAGTCAAAAATTGGTATTCTCTTCTCGATTCTCTCACTTTTCTTGGTATTTGCTTCAAAACTACGATCTCTTTACCTTTGTACTCCAGTTTTCTATCTCTTGCTTTTTGAAGTATTTGCATCCTAATTGCTTTCTTGGTAAATCTTACGTGAACTTCCCTTGGCAGTTGATTTCTCGCTGCATATCTTGTATAAACTCGAAATGTTTCATCTATAGCATTAGCCATCTTTTCTTGGGTTAGGTCAAGGACATTTGTCAAAATTTCTATCATTATTTGTAACAAGTTTTCACCTTTTTCTTCTATATTTTGAAATCTTAAAAAGAATTCTGACCTTTCGATCTCCCAATTCAGTATTCCAATATTATCCTTTTCCACCAAGCTTAGTCTGTTATCAATCTCTCCAATTTTTTTCTCTCTTTGGTCATCTTTTTCTTCAATTTTTGTAGCCTATCTTCATATTTCATCACCATTTGTTGAATATTATCAATGTTTCCATCAGTTTTAACTGCTTTTTGTTCCATATTTTCTGTTCATTGTTCTATACTTTCAATTCTTTTTTCCATGTTTTCTGTCTTCTTTTCAATAGTGTCTGTTTTTGCTTGTAGTTTCTGAATTCCTTGCATAATCATCTCCAAGATAACTGCCTTCTCTCCCTTTTCCTTTTCCTGTTGCAACATTGTTTGTATTGATCTTTGTCCCCCTGCTGGTGAGGAGGAAGGTGTTGTTGCAGAGCCGGTGGTTATTATTCTTTTACTCATCTCCAATTTCTTCTAATTGTAATCCACTTGGTATAGAGATAAAAAGGAAAAAGAAAAGAAAAAGTCAGTTATAATCCAAAGTGACCATAAGGTGGTCAAAGGTAAAAAGAAGAAAGTAGAAAAATCAGTTATAATCCAAAGTGACCATAGAATGGTCCAAGGTAGAAAAAAGATAAAAAGAGTCTACTATCAAAAATGTAAGAAGAAAAAGAAATAACCCCAAAAATAGAATAAAATTTGTAATTCAATTGAAAAAGCCAAAAATTAAAAACAACCAGATAAGGAACCCAACTTCACAACCCAAAAAGTAAACACTGCCACCAGTAGAAATAAAGAGAAAGAAAAGTAATTTCAAGGCTTCTTGCAAGACAAAAGTTCTCTAAGCAAAGAGAAATAATTTCTAAAACTTTAATAGAATGGCAGCCTTACAAAATTACTGCAGGCATGCTCTTGCAGTTATTATCTATTCTCTCCAGGCAGAATTCAAAGATTATTTTTATCAGGTTGGATAATAGAAAAAACAGCAGCTGTTTTATTCTCTTTTTTAAGGTGTTATTTCCAGGGACGTGCAGTCAGGGGAGGCAGGGCCTCACCACTGTCATCATGAAAANTCCAGTTTTCTATCTCTTGCTTTTTGAAGTATTTGCTTCCTAATTGCTTTCTTGGTAAATCTTACGTGAACTTCCCTTGGCAGTTGATTTCTCACTGCATATCTTATATAAACTCGAAATGTTTCTTCTATAACATCAGCCATCTTCTCTTGGGTTAGGTCAAGGACGTTTGTCAGAATTTCTATCATTATTTGTAACAAGTTTTCACCTTTTTCTTCTTTTATATTTTGAAATCTTAAAAAGAATCCTGACCTTTCGATCTCCCAATTCAGTATTCCAATATTATCCTTTTCCACCAGGCTTAGTCTATCAATCTCTCCAATTTTCTTCTCTCTTTGGTCACCCTTTTCTTCAATTATTTGTAGCCTATCTTCGTATTTCATCACCATTTGGTGAATATTATCAATTTTTTCATCAGTTTTAACTGCTTTACGTGCATGTTAAAATCATCTTCTACAAGAACTTTAGCAGTATGAATAGCTGGGCTTCTGGATCTCAGCCTGTTCAACTCCAGGAGGGCTTCGTCAATCAATATTGGCAGCTGGGAATTACCAATAATATTGGGGGTGGTTTGTTCTTTTGAGTTTGCTCTTCCACTTCTGAACGTTTCAACACCAGCCTAGGTAACATCGTGATGGTGTAATGTAGCCCAGTGACAAAACGTTCTGAAGCTGAACAGGAAGCTGGGAGAACAAACCACAACATCCACCACGTTTCCTCTCATTACCAATCATCTTCACGTGTTCTCGGAGGAAGGCAGCTTCTGTCTTACTTCCAGAGTGGCCTAGGACTCAAAACAGGCAGACGGTATGTGGGAAGTCCTTTGAATCTCCCCATGAGCATTGGGGGAGCATTGACTCTCACAACTGTGAAACCCTCCCTGGAATTTCTGTTCTCCTTTCAGCAACTGCAGATCCTGGGGAATTACCAGTTCCTGATCCAAGACATCTGCATCACCCTCGTGGTTTGCCTCACAAGTAAGCTGCTCCATTCTTGCCTGGTTTGCCGCAGGCTGTCATCAGCAGGCACACGGGGTGCCTTCATGCCAGCTGTGAATCCGGGGAGGTGCTGCCCAAGACACGGGCAGAGCAGCAGAGTAAAGTAGGAGGGGCTGCTCTGACACCAGCTGGTCCTTCCCACAAGGTTGCTTCAAAAGGGCTGTTCTAGGTTCCCACAGCTCCTGAGGGCACCAGGAGATTCCCTGGCAATAACAGGCAGAATGCGCTGACTGGGTTGGCACAAAACACCTAATCAAGCTGAGCATCTTGCCTGAAACCAACTGCCAGTCTTTGCTCGCACGCTTGTGCTAAACCACCAGTTGGCATCAGGTTGGTCCTCTCTTGGCCTGATCTCAGCCAGCAGAGTCCCAGCAGGACAGGAGTGCCAGGGCTGCGTTGCTGGCCTCTCTCTCGGCCATGGAGGAGTGGCTCTGCTTGGGCATCAAGCGGCTGGTGGCTTGCCACTCTGTTTCTCGCTCCCCCCCCGCCTGAAGCAATGTGGGTAGGAACCCCTCAGCAAAGAAAGGGTGGGTGGGCTGGAGAACGCCCCCCCCTTTTTCCTTGGGCCACCTGGAGATCCTCTGGAACGTTCCTCCTCTGTCCTCCCAGTGAACCTGACCCACGCCTACCCCAAACTGTCCCCCTACCGCCCCCCCGGACGGCTGCTCTCTCCGCCGCTGCTCCTCTCCGTTCTCTTCAACGCGGCCCTCAGCATCCTGCTCCAGGTCTTCGCCTTCTTCTACGTGCGGCGGCAGGCTTGGTACTCGCGGCTGCGGGGCCACTGGTGAGTCCCCACCCACCCACCAATCCGGCTGCCTGGGAGGGTCTTCCAACGGGGGGAAGGAACCTGGCCGGCTGCCTCCCCAGCTCCTGCTCCTGACCAGAGTGGCTCACTGGGAGCAGCTGGACAAGGAGGGATGGTACTTAGGGACCCCCCCTGCCTCCCTCCTTCCAGTGGGTGCCCTTTGGGAAACCAGACCAGCTGCCCAGGCAACGGGACGGCCACAGCGCAGGAGAGCCGCATTCTGAGCTACGAGGCCACCACCCTGTGGCCCCTGGTGACCCTCAGCTGCATCGCCTTCGCCTTCATCTTCTCCAAGGGGAGACCCTTCCGGAAGCCCATCTACACTAACTGTGAGTGAGGGGGGCCCTCCCCCCACTCTTCTCCCATGGGGGAGCCCTGTGAGCCTGGTGCCCCAGGCAACTGCCCAACCTCCTGTGGGGTGTCCCTCCCTCGTTCCCCAGGACTGACAAGACCCCCTTCTCCCCCCCAGATATCTTCTCTGGCATGCTGTGTCTCCAACTGGGGGTCTCCCTGTTCCTCTTCTTTGCCGACCTTGAGGGGGTCTATCAGAGGATGGAGGTGAGTGGGTGGGCTGCCAGTTTCCCCAGAGGCAGGGAGGGTAACCCCTACGGGGTGGAACGGGCTCCTTTGGGCGGGGAGGAAGGGGCAGCCAGCCAGGCCACCTGATGGGGAGCCTCTCTCGCCCCCTCACAGCTTCTCTGCACCCCAACCCTCTGGAGGGTCTACGTCCTGATTATGCTGCTGGTCTTCTTCCTGGTCTCCTCCTTGGTGGAGGTAAGCCACGCGTCCCTCCCTCCCCAGGAAAGGATCCGGGGCTGCTGGGCTGGAAGCAAATGGTTGCTGGGGCAGGGAAGCAGGGGGGGGGGGGGGCTGCAGGGCAGGAGCTGGCTTCAGGACCTCTCCCCTCTTTCAAGATGGGCTGGAGAGGGACTCCGTGGCCCTTGGCTGACCCCAAACACTCTTCCCCCTCCTTGAGACCCACGGGGGGGGGGCGATGGATAATCTCTCTGGGCTCTCTTGCCACCCATCCAGGCTGAGGGTTGCTTTGTTCCCCCACTTCCTGAGTGGGAGGAGCCTCACTCACCCCCCACGGAATTGGGCTGCTCTCTTGTCCTCCGCACCCACACTAGGGCACAACCCCCCCTCCAAGTGGAAGGAGTGGGGCAGGAGCCTGGGAGGCAGCAGGACAGAAGCACCCCTTGCCCAACCGGGAAAGGGAGGGGGGCAGCCTTGCCAGGGCTGGGCAACTCCCTCTTTTTCATTGCCCCTAGCAGCCCCCCCAAACCTCCCCCTTGCCGGGTGGGTGGGGCTCTGGAGCCCTTCAGCGGCCAGCCAGGCGACCCTCTTTTCCCCCTCCTTCCCTCCCCTTCCAGGACGGCGTCCTGCAGAACCGGCGCCTGTGGCTGCTGATCAAAGCGCTCTGCCGCTTCCGCTCCTCCAGCCGGTACCGGGTGTTGCAGCGGCAGCTGGAAAGGGAGGCGCTGTGGCCGCCCCTCCACGGGCGAGAGTGGGCGGACGGCAACCCGGCCTGTCTCAACGCGGCTTTCGAGCCGGAGGAGCCCGCCGCCCACCCGGGAAGCCGCCCCCGGCCAGCCAGGCGCGGCTCCGTGCAGCCAGAAGGGAGCAGCCGCGGGGACTCTCCCGCCCAGCCCCGCAAGGAGAGCCGTTCCTGACAGCGCTGCTCGGACCTTTCCCCACGCGGATGCGCCCTAGTCGGGGAGGGAGCGGCCCAAGGAGCCCGGAGGGGCCAAGACACGCGGGGCTCTTGAACTCCTTTGGCCTCGGTCCCCGCGCCGAGTCACGGCTGCAGGCTCCCCTCTGGGCGGGGAAGGGAGCTCGCAAGAAGAAACGGCCCCGCTGAGCGACTCTCACTTGCCGCGTCCTCTGCCTTGGGACGCCTCCCGCGGCTTCCCTCCTCCCCGCCCTCCCAGGGAAGCCTTCTCCCCCGCTGGGAGAGCGGAGGCTCGGCGGGCGCGCTCGTGGGGGGCCGAGGCGGCGGTGATCCCTGGAGGGAGCGTCTCCCGGGGGGCAGCGACCCAACTGGGGGAAGAAGCAGGAGCCGCAGCCGCGCTCCGTTGAAAAAGAATTGGCTTTATTGGCAACGGACGGAGGGGGGAGGAGGAGGAGGAGGAGGGCGGACCCTCGGGGGAAGGGAGGAAGGCGGGCTCGGCTCCTAGTCGTGCTCGAAGGCCGGGTTGGAGAGGGAGCCCAGGTGGCGCTGAGCCGCCGAGGTCCGGGAGCGTCTCCTGCAAGAGAAGGGCGGCCTTAGACGGCAGAAAGGCCAGAGGGGCCCCGGGAGGCAGGGTCGCCCCAATTGAGGGGGGGGGGGGCTCGGGTGACGGGGCTTTAAGGGGCAGCTCTGAGACCCGCCCCAGAGAAAGGCCCCCCCCCTCCCTCGGAAAGAAGCCGCCCCCTTCTCCCCCCGCCCCCTCCCCGACCGGCCCGGAGCGACTCACCTGCGCCTGCACGAGCAGACCAGCACGGAGACGACCAGGGCCAGCAGGACAACGCCCGCCGCCACGCCCAGCGCGATGTAGAGGGGCAGCCGCGGATCCCCTTGGGGAGAGAGAAGGGGGCGGTCGGCGGAGCTCGGGCCGACGGCTTTGCGCTCCACGGGGCTCCGTTCCCACAGCGCGCAAAGCCGGCTGCTCCGGGCAAAGAGAATATTGGATAGGCCTAACTTTGGCTGGGCGAACGCAGAGAACGGATAGATTCTCTCACCGGGGCCGTCGGGCAGACACCGCCCAGTGCCTGATTTTTCTCCCTTAAAGGATGCTGCCCTTCGGTGGTTAGACGGCCTGGCTATTGGCGCTAGTCGTCACTTATAAAACCCTTCATGGTATTGGACCTGGGTACTTGAGAGACCGCCTGCTGCCAATTACCTCC